ACAACCAATAAGTGAACGTTTTGAGTTCTGCACACTGCTAGGCTCTCCTCATCCTCAAACACAAGTTCTGGCTTTGTATGCAAAACACTGGGATGTAACAAGAATAAGGACATAATATTGAAGGTAACCCGAGCTGGTCCTTATAGGATGGAGAGGAATTAGCAAGGAGGAGAGAAGAACAGAATGAGTATTGTGATACACAGGGCTCCTTTATAAGTGTGGCAGCTAGTCTGATACAGAGTTTTGAATTGTTTATGGTATAGAAAAGCTTTCAAATTTCTGAAGCAATTTCAATAGGTACCCTAGATGAAAGTAATATTACATCAGTTTTTCTTTTCTTTGAAATTCTTTTATGGTTTGATTAAGGAAATTGTAATAAAAGTGCCTTTCACAATTTAGTATCCTAAATCCATTGTATGTTTTCAAGGCTTAATATCAGAGAATTTTAGCCCTGGATTGAACACTAAGTCATCACATCCTTAACCCAGCCTCAAGCCCTCTCCAGATAAAGCGAGACTCCTTGAAGTAAACTAAATCAGACATTATACCATAATTAGAACTCACATCTGCTAATTTCTACTCAAGGTGGTTTATACTACTGTATTGATCTCATTTTTACAGTCTTTGAGTGTTTTTGTATTCACACATTGAAACTGGACATAAGATTCTTTATGAATTTATATATTTTTTATGTTTTACTTTATATAACTCCATATTTTTTGAGTCTCCTATTAGGTGTTTAGTAACACTTAAAAGATGATTTTAAAAAAATCTTTATGAAATCCATTTTAGCTTATATGTCCTTGAGAGTTTTTAGTACATGAAATATAAATACATAGACTAGAATACATGTAATACATAACATAAGCTATGAAAGCTGATAATAAAACGAACACTTATGAACGCACCACCCTACTTAGGAAATAGAACATGATCAATTCCTTTGACTCCCTCTGTGTATTCCTCACCTATGGCCTTGTCATCCTCCCACCAGCCACAATGCATTTTTTATTGTATATCATGTTTCTAGACTTTTTATACCTTTTACCTGGTTAAGAAAGTCTCTTCTTAATGAAATTTAGGTTTTTAAATGTATGTTTCATAAATGGATGTTAAATTTTGTCCAGTGCTTATTATGCATCTGTTGATATTTTTCTCCTTTAACCTGTTAAGGTGATGAATTAGATTAATAGAATTCTTAATGTCAAGTGATCTTTGCATCTGTTGGATAACCTCAGCCTTTTAAATTATTTTTATTGCTTCTACACTGCCAGATTCTATTTGCTAATATAATTTTTAGGACTTTTGATTTTCGCATTTATTTTTGTAAATGAAATTAGCTAATAGTTTTTCTTGTCCATTAGTCAGGTTTTACTGCCTTCACAATATGAGTCAGGAAGTGTTTCTTGTTTTTATAGACTAATTTCTTGAAGATGGAAAATGTCATTTTATTAATTGTTTGGTAGAACTCACCTGTAAAACCCTCTGGGCTTGGTATTTCCTATAATGAATAGAAATTTTGGTAATTTATTAATTTTGGGGAGGAGGAATTTGTCTATGTCACTCTAATAAGTTTTTTTCATTTACTAACCTCAAAATGTTTATAGTATGCTCACGTTTTTACTGTGTTTCTTTTGACAATCTTAAACCTTAGTTCTTTTTCTATCTATGTAAGTTAAATCCTTTGCTTGTAAATTATCATCGCTTCTGATTTTTTTCATATAAACATTTGGAATTAAATATTTTTCTCTAATTGCTTCTTTAGTTGTACCCCACTTTAGCATGATTCAAGTTAAAATTCAGTTTATATATTTGCTGATTTCCATTTTGCATCTGTTGAGGTTTTTCTCCTTTAACCTGTTAAGGTGATGAATTAGATTATTATTTTCTTTATTATTTTTTTATTATTATTATTAGATTATTATTTTCTTTGACCAGTGGTGAGTTATTAGAAATGTTTAAATGTCTAAACATAGGCGTTTTTTAAGGTTAATTTTGAATCAATACAAAAAGATAGTGTTTATATGATAATGAATTTTTTCTTAACTTTCTTGAGATTTGTTTTATAACTTAGTACATGATCAGTTTTTATAAATGTTCCATGGGTACTTAATAAAATTTTAATTCTCCCTTTTGGCATAAGATTCAATATCATAGATCAAGCTTGCTTTTTATGGAATTCAGGTTTTACTATGTACATGTTTTGATTTTTGGACTGCTTTTGTATATCATTTACAGAAGATTATTAAAACATCTCACTATGATTGTGAATATGTCCCTTTCTCCATATAGTTTTATTGCTTTATATGTTTGGAAGGTTTATATAGGTACAGCATATACATTTTTAATTGTTATATGCTGAATTGAATCACTTATATCTCTTTTCTCTAATAATTTATTTTTGCTCTAAAATATATTCTCTCTAGTATTAATATGGCTATATAACTTTATTTGGTATAGTTTTTGCCTTGTTATCATTTTTCTCTCTTTTCTATTTCTCTATCTCCGTGGATTAGATATGTCTCTTACAAAAAGCATTCATTAATCCAAGCCTGCCAGTTTAATTTTTTAAATATCTTAACTTGAGGGTGTAATCCATTTATATTTATTATGGTTACTGATCAGTTTTTTCTCTTATTTTATGCTTTATTTTTTTATTTATTTTTTTTTTTTTGCCTTCCTTTAGATTCAGTAAACATACTTCTCATTCCATTATCTTTCTGATTTGGGAGTTATTTATATTATTACTTTTAGTAATTACCTGTGATATATTAACACTCATGCCCAACCTAAAGTTAATATCTTTACCCTCATTCTGTACAATATAAGGATTTTTTAATCTATATTCCTCTTGCTGATGCTATTGTTATTCAGATTTTAGTACCATCTTATTTCTTTGGTATTTCTATAAATTAGTCATTGTTTCCATATTTAATATTTTCAGTGTATAGATTCATACTTGTGTTTATTAATAATCTTGATTACAACTTGGCCCTTCCATCAGGGAAAAACTTTCCTTCTCCCTTAAGAACTTGCTTTAGAAATACTTATGGGAAGAGTCTGTGAATGGTGAAGCCAGTTTTTGCTCACCTGAAAATGTTTTCTGACCTCATTCTTTACATTTTGTTGACTAAACAATTCTAAGTTGGCAGTTATTTTCTTTTAGCAGTTTGAAGGTATTCCACTTTCTTCTGGCTTCCCTTGTTGCTATTGAGAATCTAGCTGATATTCTTTTATAATCTATCTTTTCTCTCCGGCTGCTTTTTACCATGTTCTATTTATCTTTGTTTGCTAGAGTTTGATTATAATGCATCCCATATTTAACTCGGCATTGTAGGTTTTATCTTATATTTTTCTGCTTGGGATTTGCTATGTTTGGGATTTGTTGTGTCTCCCACCAGATTTTTTGTGGATTCACAGTGGATGCATTTTCTCTTCTCCATCCAGAGCCACTGTCAAGACAGACAAATTTACTTATTGTCTGCTTTTGTAAGGTAGATTTTGTTTCTTAGTTCACGCTTTCCCTAAGAGTAAAACCTTTCTTGGGTTTCAGCCTTAAGCATGGGGGTTCTCCAGCCTCACTCCTTTCCTGTAAGGGCCAAGACCTTATATCTGTTCCTCTGAGTACAGCAGGCGTTCAAAACAAAAGCTCTAGGCCATTTGTTTTCGACATGTGTATGTGTATATGAGAAGGAGAGAGAGAGAGAGAAAATATGTGTGAGATCTTAGACAATTTACCTAGTTTCTTTTGCAAAGAGTGTTTTACTTAGTTTCTTTTGCAAAGACCTCTGCTAATAGAAATGGTATTCTGTCCTTTGCCTTATAACGGAAATTTTCTCCTGTCATTTTTTTTTTTTTTTTAAATAAAAACTACATTTTGTTTCTCCTGTCTCTTATTCCTATAGGCGAGCAGTAGGTCATCCAGTCCTAGCGTCAGAATGATCACTCCCTCAGGACCAACCTCAGAAAAGCCAGCTCGAAGTCATCCATGGACCCCTGATGATTCTACAGGTGACCAGTTTATTTTCTCATTAAATTATGAAGTTGAATTTGCCATGTTTATGTTCATTTTGTGTCATTAATCTTTACAAATGTGGGCATTTTACAGTAGTTTAGATTTTCATATTAATAAAATCAAATATTTAGCAATAAACTTAAAAATGTCTTTTTGCATACTGAGACAAAGATCATTTGCCTTCTGCATTTTTCCCCTCAGATATTAAACATGTATTTTGGAAATGTTTTGTTTTGGGGTTTTCCCAAATAGGAAGATACTATGTGCTTGATTCTTTAGTTTGTGATTATCCTATTATACTCTGTCCTGCTGGATGATAGTAGTAAAGTTGTTATCTTTTAAATATCTAAAATCAGCAGAATGGTAAAAATAATCATCTTCATCTCTTTCTTTTGTTTTAAAGATACAGGATATCATATACTTTAGTGAGAAAAAAATTTCCGACCATTGACTTTTTGAATCATTTTTAACTGATAGGGAGACTTCATTTCAGTTATGTAAATGTTATGTTAAATAAATCTTTAAAAGTCTGTTAAGCATTATTAAGATGTCCTAACGTGAATAACTAACTGATCAAAATATTAGTATTAAAATCTAGTGATGGAATAGTTTTATTATAGGCAAGGAGAAAATTATATGCATAGTGGAATTTACTTTTCCTTAGCATTAAGAGAATACTGTGATAAGTACTCAGCAGTATGCTGCTATAAAGTTACTGTTTATGTGTTGTTATGTCAGTGAAGGAACAGTGATCTCTTAGACCTTGGAAAATTATAAAATCAACAATGTTAGTGATAGTGGCAATTAAATTGAAATTAAAAATCAGCTTTCTGTGTTTACAAACTAAAATACTGCTTGTAAGTATTTATAGATATTTGGCATGGTTTAGTCAAATTCATAATTAAATTTAAAAAATTAACCCGAGTGGCTTCTCTTGTGTTATGAAAGATAGAACTATGTTTAGCCAGGGGTGTACTCTCTAGTTTTAGTAAGTTTAAATTTAGTGGTAGCAAAAACTTTTCTAAGTTTCACCCCCTAGGACAGCCCAACTTAGGATTGTTTAGATCATTTACCACTACTCAAAACAGGCAGAATTCATCATGATGTGCTCCTCCTCAGAAGCAGACAGGGAAATATTTTTGACAGATTTGATCATTAATGGTCAGATAATGTCAGCTCTCCTTGGTTCCTAAACCCTCCAGTGAGAGAGTACTTGCCCTGACATTACAGCCTTTGCCTAAACCTGGTTTGGCAGGGCCTCCTGCCCTTGCCTGATCTAGACATACCAGTCAGCATGTGGCAGATTGTGAATTCATGAGAGTAAAATCAAAATTCTCTTATGTTCTTCTCACGTAACTACTGTGTTTCCACTTCATGTGTTCTCCTACTCTTCCAACCCCCATCTCGTTTTTTCCTTTTCTGGGACCTAAAATACCACCAAATATTAATAGCTAGAAATCTATATGTAGGTTCAGGTTGCAATATCAACTAAATTTTTTCTTTGCCTTAAAATTATTGCAAATGTGTGGTTATCATTTTTAAATGATTTTGAATACAATTTTAGAAGTTGAGGTGCTGGTTTAAGTTTATAATTAATAAAATACAACTTTGCACTATTTCTTTTTTGTTTTAAGTAATTTTATTTTTATTTATTTATTTTTTAACATTTTTTTTTTTTTTAATTTTTTCCCCCTCCCCTTTGGTAACCACTAGTCCATTGTCCATGTCCATGAGTCTCTGTTTGTTTGTCCTGTTCAGTTGTTGCTTTTAGGTTTCTTATTTCTAAGAAAAGTATTGATAATCAAGGTAATAGAAAAATTACAGGAAAGAGATAGGCGAAGCCTTCTTTTTTGTAGGCCCCATGACTCAGGAAAAATTTAGAAGTGCATACATAAGTAAAACCTAATTAATTTGATATTATTTTAATTTAAAAGTAGAGAAGTTTCTGTGTATTTTTCAGAGAAAAAGAGCGTGATGATTTAATAATCCTCGTACATAATGAGCGCTCTTGGGTTTCTATGTATAATATAGTGGAAATTAAAAAAAGACAAATGTAACCAAGAGTAGCTATTGAGAGATAACTACATCCAGTAAGGAAGCCACAGAGCAGGGGAAACCCACTGAAGATTTTCTCCTGTGCTTAGTACTTTGCAGAGATAGAAGTATAAGTCTTGGCCCATTGCTTGCAATCTCATCAGAGGCATAGTACTGACAAGTAAAAATTAACTCATCAAGTTGTATAGTAAACTACTAAATTTTAGTACAGGCTGAGTGTGTTAATAGTTAAGACAAAAATCCATTAGATAAGACCTGGCATAGTCTGTAACTTTTTTTGTAAAATAGTGGGACTTGTCCTTTACTCATAAACATAAAGAGGAGACAGCATTTCACATGAAGGGAACAGAGAGTATAAGACTGTTATAAGTATGGTTTTTGATAGGCCAGAAAAGAAATTTTTCTTAATTTAACTAATAAACAAATGTGAGTCTTTACATAGGGAAATGAAGTTAGATTTGATTAGCAATTGAAACATTAAAAAACAAACTCTCATGGAATATCCTTTCTGACTTGTAGTCAATTATTACTGTTAGAGACTAAAAGCTAAATTTCAGTTTGAATATAGTGAGAAAGTGAAATCTCACTTCTTGGTTTTTGCTGAAAAATGATATTCAATAAAGGACCTTAAGTTCCTGAACACATTGAAGGGCTTTAATTGTTTGAATAAATCCTTGGACTATTTTTCTACCCCAAAATACTGTGAAACATTGATATTGTACTTAATTCTAAAATATGTATCAGATACAGGATACCGATGTAATCGGATATATCAAGTATCAAAGATTTAAGAAAGAGTAATTATGGAAATGTTAAATTGAAAAACTCTTTCAAGACACTTAATTTTTCCTGTAAAGTCAGAGGGGAATCATTTTTAATCAATTTTAATTTTGTAAAAAGTGGTGTTCCTTGAGAGCATAGTTTGAAACTTCTGTTGGGGTGGGGAGAGGGTTGGTCAGAGAAATGACAAATTAACTGCATTTCTTCTTTAGCCATTTCAGAAAAACATGTTAGTATATGATTTTAGGGCAAATAAGCTCTACTAGGCAATATTTCCCCCACCCCTGCTTCTACCCCTGACCTTTGGTTGTTACTGTTTCCCCTTAAGAACTGGATCTCTGAAAGTGACGCATCTCCTCCCATAGGCTCGCGGTGTGCACCTGGGGTCTGGCAGCCCCGGGGTATGGTCCCTGACTCCATCTGGGGCACGAACCCAGGACTTTCTGTGTGTAAAGCAGACGTGCTAACCACTACACTATGAAGTCACCCCTCTACTAGGCAATACTTTGTTATTCTTTCTTTATGCACTCCAGTATTTAATAAATGTTAACTTTTTCAATCTGAAATACAAATTTGACTGTTTAAAAATGCCCTTCCTTCCTAATTCTCCATTTAGTATCAATAACAATAACAACAGCCATCACCACCATCTGTTGAGTGCTTACCATATGCCAGCATTACATGATATTTCTTATATGCATTATCTCATTTGGTCTGATTTAGCTTATTAGAATTTGGAATTATTTGCAATAGCTTACATTTTCAATAACTTTAACTAGAATATCAGTCAACTGTAAGTTAGTAGTTTACTGAACCATCAAACTGTCTTAAATTTTTATTGCATTGAATGCAGTGCTTTGTCATCCCAATGTTGCCTTAATCTGCACCACTCAAAATGTTACTTGTCAGAAAAGGGGCTAAACAGCAGTTCTCTTGTTTAGTTCATTTATTCTCTACTAACACTGGGAAAACAGCTACTTCTGAAAGAAAGCTTATACTCACAGTTACGTACTTCTGGAACTGCTGTACATAAATGTTAATGTTGGGAAGAGACCATTTCATGCTTCTCATGCAAGTTGTTAGGGCAGTTTTACCTCTCTTGAAATAAAAACAAAAGCTGTCTGTTCAAACAGTTTCATGAAATTGGCCATTTGAATGAACTCATTTAACTGTTTGGGACATGACTAAGCCAGTTTTCATATGTGTAATATATTCCCATCAGTAACATCTCTCATTTTCTACAGCAGTTCTCATTAGGAGAGGTGGAATGGGGGCTCGCACTAGAATCTGTATAAATTGAAGATCATCCACTGGAAGAGAATGCATTTCGTGCTTTCTCCCTTTCCCTATTAAGGAACACTAATGTTGCCAGAATTGACACAACCTTATAGTAAACTTAGTACAATCAAGGAATGGAAGAGATATAGGTTTGATGTGGTAGGGTCTGTGAAGACTTTTTATATTTAAAATATTTAAAATATAAAAAGTATTACTGTTTTTGTTTTTAATTATATAAGGACTTACAAGCTTTAATATTTAATTTATAGCCAACTTAAATTTGAAGTATGAGAGTATAGTTGCATTCTCATAATTCGATATCCTCTGTTTACCTTTAGAATTCAAAAATAGACTCTTTTAATTACCAGTTACTTTTATGTGTTCATAACTTTAGGAAAAAATGCCAATATTTTATGCATGCTTTCCTGCTTTTTGTTTATATAATTTATGACAGAAAATAAAATACATGCTTGAATTCCAGATACCAATGGATCAGATAACTCCATCCCAATGGCTTATCTTACACTGGATCACCAACTACAGGTAAAAGAGTACTGTACTTTCTCAGTGAGTGTTTACTTTTTCCTTAGAAAAAGTTTGGAGAATTTATCTTTAAAACTGATGGTTATGTCCCTATCTTTTTATGTTCTTAGCCTCCTTAATCTTTATAAATCAAGTTAAATGATTCAAATCACCAAATTTAAAATTGGCAAAATCATGTTCTTATATCCTAATGTCATCTTAAAATACTCTCATATCTTTAAGACTGACAAAAACAGCATTTTTACTCTTTAACTTTAGTACAGTAAAATATAAAATTTGTATAAGCTCATTTCTAATAAATGTGATACATCATCATGTTCATAGTGACTGAAAATATAAGTAATATAATTCAGTGTCTCCTCATGAGTATGAGAGCTATGAACATCTTTTGGTATAATACCTGAAATGTAAAACCAGAGGCCAAGAGGACGCTAGTCATGGTTCTCTGTAACAACAAAAGTGTTAAAACAGCAAGTGTAAATTTAAGTTCTGAGTTAACTCTGACAAAAGGACACAGATTTTTTAGGGCATGGTTTAACACTTATTTTTAAAAGATCATTACTTTAGTGCTATAAAAATATATCACAGTCACTGTGTTAACTCTCATCTTAGCTAGATATTAAGATTTGATTTAATTATGTTTTAACACTTCTGATTTATTTTCAGCCTCTAGCACCATGTCCAAACTCCAAAGAATCTATGGCAGTGTTTGAACAGCATTGTAAAATGGCACAAGAATATATGAAAGTTCAAACTGAAATTGCATTGTTGTTACAGAGAAAGTAAGTTATCTTTTATGAATAAAAATTAAAACCCAATAGTATTTTGAGTTTAAAATACGTTAAGGTGCAGTATTGTTTGAACTCATGAAAACTTTATAATTTTTGTAATTAATTATTAAGCATATTTCCAACTTGGAGATTTTATATATATTTTTGTTTAAGTTTTAAGCCTCCTTTGGCTGTTTTTCATGCAAAACTCAACTCTTTTGACTATATCATATTATATTAGTACTAAAGAAAGTAAACTGGTGCTGCATTAACATGTTTCATGTTCTCACAGTTTTTAAAGTTAAAAGCTGTTTAGATTTATTGTTATAAAGATTTGTTTCCTTGGGCATAGGTAAAATAATTGGATTTATTAATATTCAGTTGTGCTTAGAAACATGTTTGTAGATATATTCTTTCCAGGTATATGTTTAGGAGATTTACTTGTTAGAGAGCTTTATTTCACACTTCAAGTGTTTTTCTGGGGAGTTTTATGCTCACATTTTTCTGAGAGTTATAGAGACTGATTTTCTCTTTTTCTAAGAAATATAGTACAATTTTCATACTCTTTTATTCACAATTCTTAAAAAAAAATACTTTAGTTTTCTTAAGCATGACCCTCGGAAATTTTATACCTCTGAAGCTGATTTATGGTGGTCACTAAAATGAAGTGTTAAGGAAAAAATCATGGAAACTATATGTATACATGGTAATAGGATTCCCTCTTATTAATTTTAATCTAAATAAGTGAAAGTTTTGGTTTCCTGAAGTACTCTTTGGAAAGTTTTCTGTTTGTACTTCTAAAAAAATTGGAAAAACTTAGTTTCATCACAATTTACTGATACAGTGATTTAAATGAATTCAACCTAGTATGTTAAAGGTAAGGCTAGATAGGAAATAGAGTCTGCAGATTGCGGAACTAATTAGGAAACTGCTGGCACTTTGTTTAAAAAACAAAACAAAACACTTCTTTCACATATTTAACATACTTTTTTTCATACTTTAATCATTTGAAAGAGAAGTTTTGCGCTGGAAAAACCAAATGGTTTGAGGGGGTGTGAAAACTGACAGTTTTAATCAATTTTAAATACTTAGTTTAAATGAGAAATGCTACTAGGAAATAATTTTGAGAACTTTTAATTATTTATTATACCCAGTAGTCTTGCTTTAGGAGGTAATACTTAATATCCCCCGAGTAAAAGGGACTTTTAAAAGTTTATCAGGCTATAAAAGACTCCAAGGGTCTTTCCTGAAAATGTTTTCAAAAGTGAGTAGTTTCAAAGTGGTACTTTGTGGTGCTATCACTGTTTTAAAATAGGAAAGAGATTTAAGTTGATAGCATCTATAGTAATCAGCTTGCAGATGTTCTGTCAGCTACCACTTTTCACTCTAGTTAGATAGGATCGTGACTTCAGAATGAGTGTTATAAGTACATGAGTATAAAGATAGAAATGTGAATGGTGAAAACTTCGTATTATTGTCCTAGAGTCAGATAAAGCCCCTCCCAGCCTTTTTTCTTCTTTCCTACATAAAAGGGATGCCAAATGAAATATTCTGAAACTTTGATTGTACCATTTTATCTGTTTTCACCAATTGTCTAAGTACAGTTACTTATTAAAAGAATTATGATATTTGTATGGTTACACTAGAAGAGTAGATTCCATTCCAGCCCATTATTATATTTGAGTAGTATAACTAAGATGCATAATAGTTCTAATTCATTGAGCTTCCAGCATCGGCTATTAAAGTATTAATTTTTCCATAATGTAGAGTATTTTATTATGGTATTTGTTTTTAGGCAAGAACTAGTTGCAGAACTGGACCAGGATGAAAAGGACCAGCAAAATACATCTCGTCTGGTACAGGAACATAAAAAGCTTTTAGATGAAAACAAAAGCCTTTCTACTTACTACCAGCAATGCAAAAAACAACTAGAGGTCATCAGAAGTCAGCAGCAAAAACGACAAGGCACTTCATGATTCTCTGGGACCCTTAATTTTAAAATATGCAAAGAAAGACTTTTTTTAAGGAAAAAAAAAGCCCTTATAATGACAATTCATGAGTTTTAGCTTTTGGGCGTGTTCTGAATGCCAACTGCTTACATTTGCTGCATTTGTTTCATCGTTTATTTTCCTTTTCTCATGGTGGACATGAAATTCAACTATCTCCTTGCATAACATAGGGGCATCTGTGACTTGAATAAGCAGCATTTCTCAACTTCCAAACAGATGCAGTGAACCATGGCTCTGTATGCATGCTCTTTGTGTGAAGGCTAGCCTAACAAAAACGGGGTATCAAACTAGCTGCTATGTGCAAACATCTTTTTTCCGAGGTGGAACCTCAAGAATGATTTTGTTCTTGTATCTCATCTCAAAAAATGAATTTTTGTTTCCAATAGATGCCATATACCAAGTTAAAGTCAGGGTATTATAAATCTAGAATAATTGGTGATGCATTATAGAAATGCAGACCCTTTAGAGATAGTGCAAAGTGAGAGCTTTGATGCCAGCATCCTCGGATCAGTACTGAACTTAGTTTCATCCATAAAATATTTAAAGGTAAGTGGCGGCTGCCGTATTTAATTAAAGAATATTTCATTAGACTAAAAATTAACTATGCTACATTAAACAAAGTGAAACCCTTTTTTTAAGGTATAAAGATTTCTCATTCTGTGATGGTATGTATGTGTGTTGAAACTGTAAAGCTTTTATAACTCTAACATTAATATCCTTAAATGAAATTAAAAGGTATATGAACACTACCCAACATAAACAATCATTCCTTCCTTCAATGATTATTGGATTTTTTTACTATATATTTGAAAAACTGAAGAGAAAAAATGGAAAATGGAAACAATTGCTCTGGCAAAAAGGCTTGGACTTAGATACTTTTTTAATACCAAATAATTTAAAAACCTGGCAAATCAGGAGATGTTAGTAAAGAAGTTAAAGAAGTAATTATAAATTCATCAAGTATCCTATTTATTGATACTGGAATAATTGATTTTCCTTGCAAGCCCATTCTATTATGCCTGCTGCCTTTCAACACTTTTAAGGAAATTTCAATACTTATAAAGAGAAAATTTATATTGTTAACAGTAACTTTGCTACCAACTTTGAAAATAAAAGTAATAATAAAACTTCGTTGAAATAATAGACTATAAGATCTATTTTTTCAATTGGTGTTAAAGTAAATCATATTTTGATACCAATACAAGGTGTCTTTTAAATAAGGATGTTGTCAACCTCATTTTTATAGCAGTAATGTTTTATGAAGAAAAATTAAAAGTGAAAGCATAATTGTGTTATTATTAAAATTATATCATGATTGTATTGTAGTTTTGTTCTATTTCAGATAAACAAGTTTGATCTAAGAAGTTATCAAAACTATTCTTAAAAATGCTAAAGCAGGTAACTTTATTTTGTTATTTTTTTCTTCCTCCCACTGAGTTTTATAATGTATTCTTTGTGTATACAAGCAATAAAGGTAAAGGACAGTTTGTACTAAACTGTGTCATTTTTAGCTTCCTCAAAATCTGTTATTAAGTTTCCGATAAATAGCTACCCAGTAAATAACTATAGACTAAGGAAAAGCATAACTCCTCCATAGCATTGCTGCTTGTATGTGTGTCTGTCACTCCACCAAAAGGGACCTAGGCAGTGTTTAGAGACTTTTCTGATTATCACAGAGCATGAGATATCCAAGCATGGATGCTAAGATTTGACTCTTCCATTAGGATTTAGCATTGCAGATTTCAGATTTTATTTCTTATTCAGTAGTGTGTTTTTGCTGTACATTACATACTTAAAGGGAAATTTTTTTATTATTGTTACTATTACATGCAATCACTTCATAAAAGTATCCGAATAGGTAAATAGAAGAAAATAGTAGTTTTAAGTCATGGTGCCAAATGCAACAAAAAAGGCTTTTGCACACTCGCTTGTTTGTTTACAGTAAGTTCATGGTGATTTTCAGTACTGTAGTTGTCCTGGACACTGAGTACGGTTCAGCCTTACTTGGTTTTTAAGTAATTGTGTTGCCAAGCTCATACATTTTAAGTCCTGATTATCCTTAATGATTGAGAGAAAAGGATAGCAGGGATCATTAAAATCCACAGCCAGTTTCATCAGTGTCCTCACCCATCAAAACTTCAAACAGAGATGTTAACAAGGAGCCAAATTTTTTATTGATTTTGGTTTTACCATTTATTCTAACCCTCATTTTTTGAATGGGAATAACAAGTGGCTAAAAGGCCTCAGCCTAAGAAATTCATTAACAATCCCTGAACAAGCCATAGTTACTTTTTTTTGTTGCCTCCAGGGAAAGAAACAAAGCTTTTATCTAATCTAGAGGAAGATACTCCTCAACAGTAAAAATACTTTTTTGAGTCAAATAAAAATTAGATAAGAATATTTACCTTATAGCAACACAGCATATTGAAGAGATTTGTTTAAAAGTTGTTTACAAATGTTTGACTATTTTTGCTGATGTATTCTAGAGTATCGAATGTCTTTTTTTCTCCGAGTTTCTTTGATGTTCCTAGTTTCAGCTCCTGCCTGTAAACAGAAATCACAGGCCTTAGCTGTGAAACTTGTTTCTTTCTGTATGTGTGTGTGGTTTTCATCAGTCAACTCCTCTCTTCAATGGTAGGACGTTCTACTTCTACTTCTGTCATTTAGAACGTATTATGTAAAATGATGTAATACAGAGATCCTTGTGTATACTGTATAATTAAAGGAAGCTTTTTAGATTTATTTTTGTTTGTAATAAAATTCAGGTTGTTGTTCTAAACCTGTTCATAAAAGTGGTGAATGATTTATCAGCAAATAGCTGTGAGGTATTTTGCTCCAGCAACATATTTACCTTATATAAAATTGAATAAAAACTGAAAAGTCAGTATTCCTATAATACTAACACTGTTTATAATTATGATTTTTGAGATGCCTGGATGCCAGTTAACACATCATCTCCAATTTAAATTTTTGGTGAAATGGCTGCTCTTCACAATCTCAGTGAATTCTACTTTGTACGAAGTACAACATGGTGTACATCGCTAAATGACTCTTCTAATTAGAAAACTGATTTTTTGTAATGTATCTAAGTTACATTAAGTATTTCATTTATCAGCCTGCTAGCCCCCAACCAACAAATATGCACACACACATACATTCTTATAAACTGCTTTCATTTTAGTAAATCCATCCATTCATTCACTAACTCCTTTAACATATATTTATTGAGTGCCTACTATAAGCCAAGCAGCTGTGGTTAATGCCAAGTTGCATGTTCATTTCAGTCACATGGCAGTTAGATGGCATTCCCCTTTCATAGATGGCAAAACAGGCTCCTAAAGGTTAAGACTTGTGCCACAGGCTGTGTTTCTATCATCTGTTCTAAGCAGAATCTCAATGGAAGGGGACTCTGTAGCCACTATTAGTCTGTCATGTGAAGAAGAGCATACGAAAATTTTTAAATTGAATGGCAAACGAAGGGGAACATGAGAGAACATCGAACTTGCAGGCACAGGAGCTTTGTGACCACCCTATAGATAGCAACAAAGCCAACACTGAGACCTACATGTGTCTTTTAAACCCAAGTCTGTGCTCTAAACCCCTTCACCATACTGTAATTTAAAACACTCACTGAGTTTTGAGGTGCTTTAGTTTTCACATTCATTTATTAGATGGGTTAGGTGTCTTCATTCTTCCACCCCTCAACTGAAAGATGTACTAAAAATGGAAATACAAATAATGATATTGTGTGGCTTCATCTGGAAACAACACTTATCCTCCACTCTACAGAAAGTGAGGCTTAACCTAGGTTTTTCTTACTTGTTCTTTTGTTTGTAGTTTTGTTTTTGCCTCTTTTTTTCAGTCTCGTTTTTTAATTGGGATATAATTTTTATACAGTAAGCTGCATCCATTTAAAGTCTGCTAAAGTTTATTGCGTTTTGACATGTACACAATTGTAAACCCACCCAGCAACCAGGACACGGAACATTTCCATCATCCCCAAAAGTTCTCTCATGTCCCTTTGCTCCAAGTCCCAGACGCTGATCTGCTTTCTAGAATTTTACATAAATGAAACCATACATGATATACTCTTTACTTTTTAAGCTTTTTTTTTCTTTCTTGAATATTTGTTTTACTGTTTTGAGAGGTATTTTTAATTATTTTTAGTAATACTTGAAAACCTTTCAGTATCAGTCTTTGAGGGAAAATCGAGTTTTAGAAAATTAAGAAGCTATGGATGTGTCCAGTGTGGCCTGTTTGATTGTGCAATGTTATCATCTTCCAAAACATTTAAGATCACTTTTAGTTTTTATGGAAATTGAATTCTTTGCTCACAAAATTCCTTGCATTTGTTTGTTAAAGTAAGCCCATTTATATCTATATTGCTTTTAGGTGTTAGAAATGTGAGTGGATTTGTCAAGAAGCATATCAGTAGGTCTGTGGTAGTTTTCAGCAAGAATGATTGACTGGTTTAACTTTTTTTAAAAAATCAGCTTTTTATTTTTATTTAGAAATTCACCTGCTTTTTGCTTGCTTAAAATTCCACATGTGGGACTAAAAAAATTAATGCGTTTCCTCCCACCTTCTAAATTCTTCTAGTTGGGCAAATAATCAAATTAACAAAGACAGAGTAACAGGAGAAAATAAAATTTTAATACATATGCATGGGGAATTCAAATAAATATGAGAATTCTAAATACAGTGAGGCAACATTGAGGATATATGACATTTTTGGACAAAGGAGAAAGGCAGAAGATGGGGTATTAGATTTCATTAGTGCGAATGGGTGATTTACAGGTACTTGAAGAAGAGCAGAATATACATGGCAAGTAAATCTTACTAGGCTATTCAGAAGCAATGAGACACGGTTAGGGAGTGGGGGGCCAACTAGCCAACAGCCCCCTGCCTGAAGCCCTCCCATTCACCATACTTAATTCAAATTAGGCTAAGACAACAGCCTAAGATTTCCATCCTGAAGCATGATTTTGTATCTGAATCTCTTGGTCAAGGAAGGGCTTGGGATGGGGCAAAGGTTCTTTTTGAGTCGTTTCTTAATAAACAGCTTAAAATTAATATCCCAAAAGGAGCTTCAGGGTGGCAAAACTTTAGTCCCCTTCATAGGAAATACTAGGTTATTACACCACAGAAAAATATTTAAAATATTTTACATAACAAAGAGACGATCTTAAAAGCATTTGCCAGACCACAAGAAACCTATGGAACAAAGGAAGATTACTGCTGGGATTACTAACAAACCATTTACCCATACTGTGGAAGGGAAAACAGCCTTTAAGTCCTACCCTACATAAACCCAACCATTCATTCCCTAGGCCAAAAACGTGGGAACCTATGGAACAAAGGCAGGGGCCTGCCAGCAGGCTTTCTCCTTACCTACCCAAACCTTTCACACTGTATACCCTTATCTTTCACACTGTATACCCATACCATCAAAGGAAAATAGGTAAACAAAGTAATTCAAAGAAACTAAATGATACATAAACTGAATTCCCTGCATACTTGGGGTCTGTCTGTCTTTCAGTCTGTCTTTTTTCTCCCAGTCTTCTTTCTGTCTCTCTCTCCTCCTCTGCTCTCACTCTTTGTCTTTGACAGGAGACCAGGTCTCTGTCTGTGGAGCATTATTCCTTCTCTAATAAACTTTGTGTCTAACTGTGGCATGTGTTTGAATTCTTTCCTGCTCTCCATCAAGAACCTTCCATCTCTAGGTGCAGGACTTGAATCTCCACTTGGGGAGATCTACCCTGTGCTGCATCACATGTAACATGGCCTATCACGTGGCCACCCTACCTGCAGGGAGACTGAGAAATGCTGTGTGATGGGCAGCCATGTGCTTAACTAAGAAGTAGGAAGGAAACTAGCCCACTGCCCCCTCCACTTCCTCTGTCTCCTCTCTTAAAATGGAAATTGGAAAAGCTGACCTCACAAGAGCGTAGAGGTAATTGCATTTTCATTAGTGTCGAAACCTGACTAAAACGGCGTACAATGCTTAAAGATTTCCTGTGTTTATAATTGATTCGGTTTAGAAAAATAAAACTTCAAAATGTGAAGTTGGAGCACTTTATTTGGAACACTAATTGGGAAACTGACTTGAAGTATTTTAGATATTCAGTAACAGACAATACACTTTAGAAAAATTTTCAGTTATATCCTGAATGAATGAATGAATGAATGAATGAAAAGAAACTGGTAGAACAACCCATTATGATGAGAAAACAAAGAAAAAATAGCCATAAAAGGAAAAGATGTTTAACAAACTTAGAGATACTATTAGTAAGAAACAAAGGAACTAGCATTGACTAGAATATACTGTTTCATGCATTTCTAAAATGTTAACCCTTGCCTTAAAAATAAACTGAAGGCCAGAGATGTTTGAAAATTTGCCCAGCTAGTAAACGATGGACTCTAGTTCAATCCCAGGTCTTCGAAGCCTCAGGCCTACAAATAATCTCAATTAGTTTAGAATTTGTAATGCATTTTCTTGTAGACTTAATAGAGAAGAGCTAGGTTCCTAAACCTATTCAGAAAGTCTGTTTGGCCTTTTATGGAAATGAAATAATGCCATTGAATGGAACAATTCCATCAGAGACAGAGAGAACAGAAAAATGAAGTGGTTGAGATCTTCGGGTGTTGACATTGTAGTAATTTTTCCCATTTAAAACTTCTTTCCCTTTTTCTTGTGTTCTGCACAGTAAAAATAAAAACCAGGAGGGGAGATCACCTTACACATCACTCTAACTGTATTTCTTGGCAGGAACCCAAGGCCTTTACCCTTGGGCACAACAATTGGAGCCTTTGCTTTAATTAATCCTCCAAGGACAGGAACTTTGCCTCTCACCACTGGCCCCAACCTGGACCCCTGCAAGTAGGGGCGGACCTGAGGGGAAGGGATTCCAAAGGTTCTCCTGCAGCAATATAAGTTCTCCAACTTTGTTCTTTATTAAAATGGTTTCTGCAATTTCCATATAAATTTTAGTATCGACTTGTTAATTACTACAAAAAAAACCCAGCTTATTGGGATTTCGATTGGGATTGCCTAGAATTTATAATATACCAAGTCGGGGAGAATTAGCATCTTAATGTCATTTCCAATCCATTATGTAGTAATTTTCTGATTTTCTCCATTTATTTAGATGTTTTCTAATCTCGGCAATGTTTTGTGGTTTTTAGTGTATAGATCTTGGACATGTTTTATTTATTTCAAAGTAGTATGGTAGCGTCTATTAAAAGTAAAATCATAATCTTAGAATATTCCCACTTTAAGGAATCTACAGGATTAAGAGCATCTTATATAAGGACATATACTAAGAAGTTACTCGAAACACTGCATAATGGCCAAAAAAGAATTTTTTAATAAAAAACCCTAAACAACAAAAATGCCTATCAATAGGGAAAAGATAAAATTAATTATGATAAATTAGTTTTTTAAAGGAATGAATTAGGTTTAAATATGTTGATCTGAATTAATGTCTGACCTATTGCTACATAAAAAGAACAGGTATATAATGCTATTTTGGTCAAAAGAACAGGTATATAATGCTATTTTGGTCAAAAATTTAAAAAGCAAAACTGAAAACCTGTGTGTAACATGACATGCATATAAATACAGTGGGGAAGGAGACAATGGTGGTTATCCCCAAAAGGGTAGACGGTGGTGGAGAAATTATTACCTTCTTTATATATTTCTGAATTGTTTGGCAAGTTTAATGAGAATGGATAACTGTAATTTAAAAATCTAAACAAGTTTGAAGAGGAGGAGGCAGA